AGCCTGGGTTGAACAAATTCAGGCTATATTCCTACCTAACCAAAGCAAGCAAATTAAAGCTTTAAGCATAAGGGAACAGTCTCTAGATCCATACGATTTTCTAAGTAGTCTAAGTTATTTGATCCACAGTCTCTAGATTTACAAAATTTAAGCCTAAGACAAGACTGCCCAAAACATTTACCAGAAGAGTAGTTAAAATGCTGAAAATCAAAGATCTGAATTTATAATGTACGCGGCAGGAAGCAAATAACTTTCAGCGTATAGCTCTTTCAATAAGATTCAGAATATCTACAGAAAATTCCAAGTTTCTCTATAACAATGAACTATAAAGGAAGAAATTGATCCACAAAAGACACCTTCAAAACGGCATTATACTTATCTGAACATCTTGTGAGACATAGTCAGGCCTAGTCAAAGCAGATAGAATTGTTACCTTAATTAAGCCATCATAAGCATTCAAAAGTAGTTGTGCGTGCTCTATCTTGGCTTCCAGATAGGCCCTTAATACCACTTGTTCCCGTAGCTCCGGAGAATCTTGCTGACATACAATTCAACACACAAAGATGAGACAATTCTGCTCAGAAATGGTATAGGAACAAAAACAAAAAATAAGACATGGTTATACCAACTCAGGCGAAGTCGCTTTCTCGTGCACCAATTTCCCCAACTTTATCCCTAATTTCATACTTTCTAGGCCAATATCAAGCACTCTTATACCAACTTCATTACTATTTCCTTGCAAACATGCCTTAGAATTTACAACAAGTTCTACATCTTTGGCTAGTCGCTTCAACAAATCTTCCATAGTTTTCCCATCCAGTCCAGAATCGGGGATAATTTTATGCTGCTGAATCGGTCGAATGTTGTGTTTCTTCTCCTTTACCAGTAGATTCTGCTTTCCTGGCTGCCCATTTTCTGGAATGTTGTGCTCCTCCTTTACCTGTAGCCCATTATCTGGAATGTTGTGTTTCTCCTTTACCTGTAGGTCGTTTTCTGGAATGTTGTGGTTCTCCTTTAGCAGTAGAGAGTTGGAGTTAGGAGGTTGAGTCCAAATTTTCTGACATAATTGGAACACTTGGACTTGGTGCAGGTCTGTATTAGAAGGATTTCCTGTGGCAAGAGTCTTTTCATACTTTAGTCTGATACGCCTTATTTTCTCCCTTAATTGGACAGGCGTAGCTTGAAGAGTAAGTGAAGGAAGGATAAATGCACGAAATTCGGCCATATTTTGTGCAACTTCACGAGCTGTTTGTTCCTTGAACTTAATGATACCTGTGAGTAGGGAAATTTCATCTTCATCACTCCACACTTTTGAAAAAAGGGGAGGTTTGGATTTCAGTTTCATCATCCTCTTCGCCTTCGGAGAAGGAGTTTTCTCTTCATCATATCCATCGGAAGGAGTATCATTATAAAGAAACCTTGTCACATCAACATCCTTGTTTTTTCTTTTCTTTGACACTATTTCCTCTTCTTCTCTCACAAACTCCACACTACAATTTCCTGAATCTGTGCTTGAATTTTCTGCCATTTTCTGTTCTTTCTTTTTTTGGTTTATGCCCATGGTTAAAGCTTTAGTTCTAGTCAAGAGAGATAGTTTAGCAAGTGAAGAGGCGGAAAAGGACATACTTGTAATAAATGATCCACGTCATTTCATTTGATTTGATTTAGAAGGTGAAAGGTCTAATTTATACTATTATTTTATATTTTCAGTAAGAAGCTGAAAAGTCTCTTTATATATCTTGGACCATCTGATCAAAAGCCATTATCATCTTCGCATAAGACTCTTCGTGAAGTAGGGTACGGTTCGATTTTATGTATTATTAGTTCAACCTATTAAATTTAGTTTAAAATATGATAAGTTAATAACAAATTATTTTTATTCTTTAATGGCTTAATTTCTTATTTATCCAATAAAAATGCTCATAAATTAAATATATAACTTTTCACTTGTCTAATAATTTAGCGTGATATAGTGAAACAAACAAATCAATAGTAAATGTTTTGATATACTGAAACATGAAAGATAATGAGACATTGCGTCAATAAGAGCAGATGTAGTACGAAGGCTACAATTACATGTTACAGTCAAAACATAATATGGAATTTCTTCTGTGAAATAGAAGTATTGTGAAGTGTGAACTGTGTAGATTGTAGTATAAAATACTAATATAGTGTCTAGTTATGTTAAATTATTACTTTTTCCGTCCACTTTTAGGGCATGTTTGGAAGGACACCCTGGTAATTGAATTTGGTGTAATTGGGTGTAATTACACGGTCTATCATGTTTGGTTGGACAGGTAATTACTTGGTCAGCAGGTAATTGGTGTAATTGGCAAAGGGTAATTACACTCTCTAATTCACAGCCTGGCTGTGAATTGCTTGTAATTACATGGTGTAATTACCAGCTGATTACTTTTTAATTTCTTTTTTTTTAAATCTATTTTTAAAAAAAATAAAAAACTACTTCTATTATTTTAAGTTCTTTTTTTATGTTTATTATTCTAAAAATTTCTAAAAGTTTATTTTTTATTTTATATATTATATTTCATTTTCTTCTCGTTCTCATCCTTACTTTATGTGATTCTATGTAATTTTTTCGTATTATCTATTTCTTTATGACATGCTTATTTTCTCATTAGCATAATTCTATTAGTATTCTAATCTATATATATATATAAATCTGAATCTAGAATCGCTGATGTGGCAGCCTCCAATGGCCAGCATTTGGAATTTTGTAATTATCTATTTTACTTTTTAATTAAAAATTAAATCTGAGTTTTTCCCAAATAAAAAAATTCAATTAATTAAAAGAGAGTAATTAATTACTCTGCAGCAGCCCAAAACGCTTAGCAATAAATATGAGTTATTATTTACTCAGCATCAGCCCATAACCTCTAAAACCCAGCCCATCCAAAACGTTTCAAACCTAGCCCACTAACATCACCTTAATTATCCAATTGAATAGGTTAGTTTATTAGGCGTCTATTTTTTTTTATCTTTGGCGTAAGTTAATTCCCTCAGTTGCCGACCTTCTCCCTCCCATCTTCATAAGTTTCATAAGGTACGTTTTTTGTTTTGATCTTCATGATTTGTAACTGAAATGTTTTTAATTTGTACTAATCTGTGAATCATTATTGTTAATTAATTTTTGTGGCCTTGCATACCCTAATTCTTGCCATATATGTAGATCTAACGTTTTCTGTTTTGATCTTCATGACTGGTCGAGATGATTTCGTGATAAGGGTTCGACTTTGTACACTCTGGTATGTCATTAATCCCAAAAAAATGGGTAGTTGATTATACGGAACAACAAAAATGGGTAGTTGATCTGTATATGTGGTTGGTTGTTTATACGGAATTGGTGATATGGAAAGCGCTGGAAAAAAAGGGACATCCACATTGTTACAAATTAGTAAGTCACTCATCTCATTTTAATTAGTTTTAGTATGTTATCTTCTTACAAGATAATTGTTATGAATTTTTCACTTTTAAATTCTAATTTTATATTTGTTCTGCATAGTTCTGCTAAATCAAAAATTACCTTATGTGATGAACTTGGGGAGAAGTTTGCTCCTTATCTATATAACTATGTGATACTTTATCTTCTATGTTTTTTTTGTAATTTATTAAAGGTGCATTCGGTTGCATGGAACTGCAGTGGCACAAAATTAGCTTCAGGTTATGTGGATCAAACAGGTCGTATTTGGAAATTTGAGCCTCATGTTCATGTAAGCTTCATGAGCTCATCTTTTTTGTTTCGGTTAAGTTTATATGCTGAAAAAAATGATAGCTTTTTGTTATTGTTGCCTTTTTCTGCCTACCTTTTATGATTTTTTAAAGGTTTTACTGAAGTGGGAAGCTGGGTGTTGTAAATAAACTGGATAAATTTGTTTACGATAGGCAAAACGAGATTTTTTGGCAAAATTTATGTAAATCTTGATATAGATTACATAAGATGTTTGGTTCAAAAGTTTTCCACCATGTCTACAAAATTAAACAAGTATAACTTGAAAGAAGGGGTTGAGAATTTTACAATATCAAAACTTTGGATACCAGATGATAATTTGGAAGCACAATACAAACTAAGGAAATAGAAAAAAGGTATTGCAATACCAAGTTTTAGTTTGTAATTCACTATTACCTTTACGTTGTAAATAATATTTGTTTTGTTGTTGATGTTTTTTTAGGGGAGAAGCTTACTTGAGAATGAGATTGAACCAAATGATCAGGGATCCGAAGGATACTATTGTTTGAGCTTAGTTAAGTTGTCCTTTTATAATTTTTGGTTTAGTTTAATAAGTAGACACCTTTGAGCTTAGTTAAGTTGTTTTGTCCCTTTACCATTTTAAGTTTAGTTTACTAAGTATATGCATGTTTTCCGTAGTGATGATATTCATACTTGTATGGTTTTATCCCAACTCAGACAACTTCTACTATTAATATATTTGGTTGTTTGTATAAGATGGCTTTGTCCTCAAAATCGAATACTTGATGGATATCACTTGATTGAGCAGTCTGCAAGTGTATCTTCTGTATACATAATTAAATTCTTCTTCAGTTTTGTGGAATCAAATAAATGTTGGTGCTATGTGCACAAAACACATGGTCATCCTTCCTATTCAGTTAGTTCTTGAGCGGGTTTAGTGCTTCTTCTTCTCTTATATTCCCCTATATTAGTCTCCACGTTGTTCAAGTTCTTCCTATGGTGCTTGCTATGTAGCCGTACATACAGAGTTGAGGTTTTCCCTACTATTCATTTTGCTGCCACTTTGAACTCTGAGTTTCGGAAGTGGAACACTCTAATAAGTTGACGAAATAAAAGTGACATAATTAATAAGTTGTTCCTTTTCTTTGTTTTTGAAGTAATGTTTAGCTATGGTTGGATGACTTTTGAAGATGTAGGAGGAGTTTTTTTGTTGGTATTGGAATGATAACTGATCATAATATACATGAGAAGGTGTCTACATTCTCAATATCAACATTCTCCTCTTCAACAAGAAATGGAAGACGAAGAAGCTGCTTTAGCGTATGATCAAGCTGCACTTACAATGAGAGGTCCATTGGCACACATGAGCATGGGGAAAATATGCAGCAGAAGTAAGAGATTCAACAAGAAATAGAATTAGTGCACTTGCAATGAGAGGTCCATTGGCACGTTTAAATTTTCCAATGGACAAAGTAAGAGAATCACTTGAAAATATTAAGTATATTTGTTAAGATGGAATTTCAGCAGCTACTGTTTTAAAGGCAACAAATAAAATGAGATGTGTTAAACATAAGAGAAATAGGAAGAAGAGAAAAAGGGAAAATATAATTCAAATGGATATTTACTCATGGATGACTTAGTTTCTTTAAATTGTCTTCCGTAAGTTGTCTTTCAGTCTAAAACTAGAGGTAATTGATGTCACACTCACTTTTGGATTTGTGTTGTTGAAGAGTCAAGTGGCTGTTGACTTATGGATGACTTAGTTTCTTATAATTTCCTTCCATAAGTTGCCTTTAAGTTTTAAACTTAACAAATAGAGGTATTTGATGTTACATTCAATTTTGGATTTCTTCAGTTGCAAGGTTGAGAAAGCGTTCAAGGCCGAGTCTTTTTACATTGGTTTTGATTGATACATGTAGCCTTTCATGTATAATCTCACTTGTACTAATTTGTGTTTCATTCATTTCTTAAACTATTTCATCTGCAGCTAGACATGGAATTTATTCAATGTGACATCAACAACTTAAAATGGAGAGGTATCTTTTTCCCCTTACTTTTCATGACCAAGTAGTGACGACTATCTTCTTTTCTGTATATGTTGATTATTTCTTTTGGTACATGGCAGGAGGGAGAAGGTGCTGCTGCGGCTGAGGAAACTAAGAAGAGCAACCATGTTCTCCGAAAAATTGAGAAGCGCCTGACAGATCGCAAACTTGATTCTCACCTTGAAGAACAATTTAGTTCTGGTAGACTATATGCTTGCATCTCATCTCGCCCTGGTCAGTGTGGCAGAGGTGATGGGTAAGTTCCGCATTGGCAACCTTGATTCCCGGCCCTAGACTCGTGAGATAGTTTTTTTGCATCTGTTCCCATTCAAGTCATGATCTTTGTATTGCAATTGACAGGTATATCTTGGAGGGCAAAGAACTTGAGTTCCAAATAGAGGTATTTGATGTTACATTCAATTTTGGATTTCTTCAGTTGCAAGGTTGAGAAAGCGTTCAAGGCCGAGTCTTTTAACATTGGTTTTGATTGATACATGTAGCCTTTCATGTATAATCTCACTTGTACTATTTTGTGTTTCATTCATTTCTTAAACTATTTCATCTGCAGCTAGACATGGAATTTATTCAATGTGACATCAACAACTTAAAATGGAGAGGTATCTTTTTCCCCTTACTTTTCATGACCAAGTAGTGACGACTATCTTCTTTTCTGTATATGTTGATTATTTCTTTTGGTACATGGCAGGAGGGAGAAGGTGCTGCTGCGGCTGAGGAAACTAAGAAGAGCAACCATGTTCTCCGAAAAATTGAGAAGCGCCTGACAGATCGCAAACTTGATTCTCACCTTGAAGAACAATTTAGTTCTGGTAGACTATATGCTTGCATCTCATCTCGCCCTGGTCAGTGTGGCAGAGGTGATGGGTAAGTTTCGCATTAGCAACCTTGATTCCCGGCCCTAGACTCGTGAGATAGTTTTTTTGCATCTGTTCCCATTCAAGTCATGATCTTTGTATTGCAATTGACAGGTATATCTTGGAGGGCAAAGAACTTGAGTTCTATATGAAGAAACTACAGAAGAAGAAGGGCAAGGCTGCAGCTGCTTAATTGGAGCTCTTTGAATTTTGAGACTAATTTATATGTTTTTTTTCCTTTTTCCTATTAAACAACTTGGTTTTGTGAGGATATTTTTCTATATGCAGTATTCTTTAATCTTACGATGAGTTGACATTGACGCCTGGACTTCGTTTATTGTTGTATTTCAAAGAAGAATATTCTAATATGTATTATTAAAGAGAAGGAATGTATCAAATGAGCTACTGCAAGAGAATTCTGAGAACTTTTTTGGTTGTTTGTGTTTGATTTTAATCATGTCATCCTTATTTTCTATGCGTTATTTAATAGAAATGGAGAATCCAGTTATGTCAACAGGACACAATTTGTTAGCCATGTCTGTCTACAAGTTACGCGCATCACATGGATGACATGTTTTCATTTAATGCCAATTTCTCATCTTACAGTATTGTTGGGAGATTGTAACTCCTTTTTGGAAAAATGTGCATGAAGAAGTAATATATATTTAGAAGTAAAATTAAGCAATCGATTATGCTAATTTGTATGTCTGCAAATTACCTAATGCAACTACTTATGAAGAAGGAGAACGGTTAAGATGGGCTGAGCTGGTGACAATTCGTTCTACACACAGTGCAAGTTGGGTTACAGGGGATGTACGAATTGACTGCATTTTCATGCTGAAAGTTCATGGTGCAGTTGAGGGTATTGCAGAAAAGCTATCAACATCAACCACCGATGGTATTTGTACTTCTGCTGATTTGCTTAGCCGACGAAAAGAAATATATGGGATCAATAAGTTTATTGAGAGCCCACCAAGGAGCTTCTGGATTTTTGTATGGGAAGCTCTTCAAGATACAACCCTCATGATACTTGGTGTTTGTGCTTTTGTATCGTTGGTTGTTGGCATAATGACTGAAGGATGGCCAAAGGGTGCACATGATGGACTTGGTATTGTTGCAAGTATCCTGCTGGTTGTATTTGTTACTGCTACTTACCTGAAACATTATAGCTAATATCAGTTACCCATCCAGATGATTTGGTAAATCAATGCTATTAAATGACTGGCCAAGTCCCAAATCTTCCTCGCAATCATATTCAGTTACATTTTATCCACAAATCAAATACAGCTCACTCATATTAAATGCCCAGGCAATTCTCATATCTTCCCTCTATTCATATTTAAATTCATCACACTCAAAATCTACAATCATTCATTCATCATATTCAAATTCTACTACCATTCGATCATCCATTTCCTTTTTATCTTCAAATTAAACAGAGTGCACATTCAAGGAAGGGGAGACGTTTATTTACTTTTTTAATAATTCAGAAAACTTAACACAGCAGCAGATTCACACATTGCAATCCATTCAATTTCTTAGAGATCATCTCAGTGAGTGTTTATATTCTACTAAAACAAATATAACAGGTTCAATGGAATTGCTATCCGCTATCATTAAAGAATATAGTGGCTCGATGAATATTTCAATGGAAATTACGCTCCTACAACAGCTACTACCAGAATTAGCTTCCCAAGAACGGATGCTAAAACAAAAAGGAAATGCAAATGCATCAACAGGCGAGTGTAGTCGAATGAATAAAGCAGTGGGCTCTCTCAAAAACACCAGATGCAAGTATTTCAGATTGAAGCGAAAGGTTGCTTTAATTGAAAAACAATACAAGAGCCATCCAAAAAAATTAATAGTTCAGCTTATACGTTTTGTGAATAGATTCACAAAGTTGGCAAAGTTGACAAACTTTACAAGCAGACATGTTCCGATTCATCAAAATGGTATGTTAATATACATCCCCATTTATCTCTTAACCAAATTCCAAAGTTCGACTTATTGTTCATATGAGAAACTGAATAAATAAATCATTAACTACCTATAAAATGATTATGTTTATATTTAAATGTTCAAATTTTACAGCCCATTACACAACAACTTGGAACTTTGGCCCCCCAAAGTTCACATGTCAATATTGTGGAGCTCTGTTATGGTATGAAGAACGGACAACAAAAACAGTACAAACAACAAAACCAATATTCTCATTTTGTTGTATGGGAGGAGGTCGTGTACAACTTCCTTTATTGAGCGAACCACCACCTTATCTCAAGTATCTTTTGGGTACAAAATCTAGACAACTAGGTATGAATTTTCGAAAAAACATCAGGGCTTATAACTCAATATTTGCATTTACATCCATTGGTGGCCGAGTTGATGGATCTATCAATCGTTCAAAGGGGCCATACGTTTTCAGGATGAGTGGTCAGAATTATCATCGTATAGGATCTTTATTGCCTGAAATTGGTAAAAGACCCCAGTTTGCTCAGCTATATATATATGATACTGAAAATGAGATAAACAACAGAATGAATTGTCTGTCGCAAGGAGACATTGATCTTAAAATTGTTCATGGCTTATCTGAAATGTTGGACGAGCATAATATATTGGTAAAAACATTTCGAATGGCTAGGGATAGATATAAAGAGCATCCTGAATGTGAATTTCGCCTACGTCTCATATCTAACAGGACAACAGATGGTCGGCAATATAATATACCCACAACTTCTGAAGTAGCTGGATTAATAGTGGGTGATCTTACGGAAGAAAACTTCCAGCGAGATATTATTGTAGAGCATAGGAAAAATGGACTTCAAAGAATTACTGATCTACACCCAAGTTTTATGTCTATGACATACCCATTAATACACCCATATGGTGAAGATGGATATAGACTTGGAATAAATTTGGCAGATGTGATCAACAAGACTTACCAGCGACAAAAATTATCAATGAGAGACTTCTATTGCTTTAGAATACAACAAAGGCTTAACGAGGGTAAGACTCTCTTACTAGCTGGTAGACTATTACAACAATACATTGTTGACGGTTACATGGCAATCGAGGAAGAAAGATTTCGTTATATTCGAAATAATCAAACAAAACTCAGAGCTGCTCTTTACTCTGGTTTAATGGATGCCATTCTTCGTGGTGATTCAGATTGTTCACTGGTAGGAAAAACAGTTATCCTGCCTTCATCTCACACTGGAGGACCTCGCTATCGGGCACAAAATTATCAAGATGCAATGGCAATTTGTAGGTGGGCTGGATATCCAGATTTGTTCCTCACTTTCACATGCAATCCAAAGTGGCCCGAAATAAATGAAATGCTTCGCTTAATAGACCAATCTGGCGATGATAACAGGGTGGACATCGTATGCAGAGTGTTCCAAATCAAGTTATTCCAACTGATGCAAGATCTGAAAAAGCAACAGCCTTTTGGAAAAATAATCGCATGTAAGTTCAAACTCAAACTTAAACATACTAACAATGCATCAGTTATTAATTAAAGCGTTTACATTTTGGTAAAAAAAAAAAAAATGCTTACTTTTTCGGCATCCTAACAAACACATTATACCATTGATTCTGTAGGTTTATATACAATTGAGTTTCAGAAAAGAGGACTACCTCATGCACATATACTACTCTTCCTGCATCCCACATTAAAAAGTCCATCTATAGATCATATCAACACAATGATAACAGCTGAAATACCTAATATGGAAGTCGATCCTGATGGTTATAATGTTGTGAAGAACTACATGATGCATGGACCTTGCGGAGACCTCAATCCAGGATGCCCATGTATGAAACAAGGAAAGTGCAGCAAGCATTTCCCAAAGAAGTTCAACAATCAAACAACTTTTGATGCAGATGGGTTCCCAATTTATAGGAGAAGAAACACAGGTACAAAAGTCAATAAAAATAATGTCTTTTTAGATAACAGATATGTCGTCCCTTATAACAGGAATTTGATTGTCAAATTTGATGCACATATAAATGTCGAGTTATGCAATTACTCAAGATCGGTGAAGTACCTATTTAAATATGTCAATAAGGGATCTGATAGAGCAACAATCGGCATAGAATGTTCAGATACTACCACAGAACATGATGAGATCAAAAGATATCTAGATTGTAGATACATATCAGCTACAGAAGCTTGCTGGAGGATCTTTAAATTTGACATACATCATAGAGAGCCAGCAGTTGAGCGTTTGCCATTCCATTTACAAGGAGAAAACACCATAGTATTCCAAGAAGAAAGGTGTCCTGAAAGCATACTAAACAAACCCGATATAGTAAAAACAAAATTCACAGAATGGTTTGAGGCAAACAAAGAATATGAGGATGCGCGAGACCTAACATATTCAGATTTTCCTACACGGTGGGTTTGGGATGCAACAGGTAAAAGATGGACTAGAAGAAAAAAGGGGAAGTCAATTGGTAGAATTTACTTCGCGCATCCTGCAAGTGGAGAACGATTTTACATAAGAATGTTACTTAATTTTGTGAAAGGAAGCACTTCCTTTGAAAGCATAAGAACAATTAATGGAGTCCGGTATGATACTTATAAGGAGGCATGCTACGCATTGGGATTATTGGAGGATGATAAAGAATGGAATGACTGCTTGGCTGAAGCTGCATGTTGGGCATCAGGAAATGAGCTGAGAAATCTGTTTGTGACGATACTAATTCACTGTCAAGTGTCTGATTCATCCAAACTTTGGAGGAGCAACTATGAAATTTTATCAGAAGATATAACATCATTACAACGAAAGAGATTTCAATTGGAAGATTTACAGTTTACTGAAAAACAACTTGAATCATATACGTTATTTGAGATCGAAACCATACTTGTGAAGATGGGAAAAAGTTTGAAAGACATACATGGAATGCCACTTCCAGATTCTACTTTGATGAATGACACAGGGAATCGTCTAATCAATAAGGAACTAGAATATGACAAACGTTGCTTAAAGGAAGTACATGATAAATCATATGCTCTCTTAAATGATTGCCAAAAGATAGCTTATGAGGCAATAATATCATCAGTTGTAAATGAAGAAGGCCGCTTATTTTTTATAAATGGACATGGTGGTACGGGAAAGACATTTTTATGGAATACAATAATTTCCAAGTTGAGATCAGAATCAAAAATAGTTCTTCCAGTTGCTACTTCCGGAATAGCGGCTTTGTTATTACCAAATAGTAGGACAGCACATTCACGATTTCATATCCCTTTGGACATCAGTGCAGAATCAACTTGTGAAATAAGACAAGGAAGTCAGTTAGCCGAACTACTTCTGAAAACATCTTTAATCATTTGGGATGAAGCACCAATGGCAAATAAATTTTGTTTTGAAGCCTTAGACAGGACCTTGCGAGATATTCTCCGAGTGAAATATGAAAACAACTCAGATAAACCATTTGGCGGCCTTACAATCGTATTTGGTGGTGATTTTCGTCAAATACTACCAGTGATTCCAAAAGGAACACGAGCTGATATTCTAGATACATCACTCAACTCCTCATATTTGTGGCCATTCTTTACAATTTATGAGCTGAAACAAAATATGCGACTTTGCTATGGAAGAGTATCTGATTTTGAGGCCGCTGAAATTACTACTTTCGACAAATGGTTGTTACAAATTGGGGATGGATCCTTTTATAGTGATGTTGACAATGACCTTATTAAAGTACCTACTGATATATGTATAATGCCATCCACTGATCCAATCGGGTCAATCGTCGAGGCAGTTTACCCATCCCTCTTGCAGAAGTACAATGACCTAACATATTTGCAAGAAAGAGCAATACTTACTCCTAAAAATGAAATGGTCCATGAATTGAATGATACAATTATGCAAATGATTCCAGGTGAAGGAAGAACATATTTTAGCTCAGAGAATGTGTGTAAAGCAAGTGTTAACACTAATGATGAAGATCTGCTGTACCCAACAGAATTTTTAAATAGCTTAAGATTTCTGGGAATTCCTAATCATGACGTACACTTAAAAGTAGGTACTCCAGTTATGCTTCTCAGGAATCTAAATCAAAGTGAAGGACTATGCAATGGAACAAGATTGATTGTCACACATCTTGGTAACTGGTCTATTAGCGCAAATATCATCTCCGGAAAGAACATTGGCTCGAAAGCAACAATACCAAGAATTATTATGTCTCCTAATGATTCAAAGTGGCCATTCAAGTTTAACAGACGACAACTTCCTGTAGCACCATGTTTCGCTATGACGATTAATAAAAGTCAAGGACAGTCTCTCAACCATGTTGGATTGTATCTTCCTAAACAAGTATTCACTCATGGCCAATTATATGTAGCACTATCCCGAGTAACAACAAGACAAGGATTAACTATACTAAATGTTGACGACGACATGGAAGATCCTATGTTCATTAAAAATATTGTTTACACAGAAGTATTTCAAAATAGATGTCCTCAAGCTGAAATAGAAACATGGTATTTCTTTATTTCATTCCATAATATTATTTTACTGTACAAATTCATAACTGTTCAGCTAACAGTGCTCTGTTTTGGGACCAATAGGTATACACTTGAAGACTGATGATGTAGATGAAGTACCAGGAACTCACACAAATATAACTAAAGGAATTTCAGATAAGAACCAATTAATATTATTTCATTACCATTTATATCATACTTATTTGGTTTACAACATTTATCTACATTGGACTCACAATTGTAGGACCTGCAGAGTTCCCATTGATCCGACCTGCAGATGGGACAATAGTAAATCAATACAAGATCGATGGCGGTCTATTTCTTTCATAAAGATACTTCTTAATTACCAGAAGCTGCTCAAGAAAGCAAAAGTAGGCAAGCATGCTGACAATGACAAGAATTGGTAGTTCCTGTGATACCCTGTGCAAAATTTCAGAAGCTAAGTCAGTTGAGTAATTTTTAATAAGTATTTACACATTTAGCTATTCTTGAGTTGTGGAGTAGAGACAATAATATTGTTTGCTGACGGAGTTCCAAGTAGGATTTCTTTGGCTCTGTGTCACGACCCAAGCCTAGGGCCTAGACGTGACCGGCGAATGGGGAACCCGAAGGAACCCCAAACAAGCCTCATAGCGTATCATTACACATCCTTGGTCGCGGAAGCAATTAAAATGACCATAAGCCATAAGCATAATCAAAGGGGAAAATCGGGACTAAGGGAGCAAGAAAAAAAGAAGAAGAAGAAATGATACTTAAATACCATAGCTGAGTCAAGCTCAAGCATAATACACAACTTGTCCAACACCACCTCTAAACATAGGTACTTTAGCGGGGGCCAAGACAAACAACTGGGCTCACCCTCATAGTCAAAACATAACTAAAAGGAAAAGTCTTATACATAGCAAAAGATCATAAGCAACGTCCCCGGAATGGAGGACTCACCAATAACCTTGATAGAAAATCGTATTAGCCACGCGGAGGACGAGGGTCAAGCGGTGCTCCGGTCCCTACATGGTGACATCATGTAGGCATAGAGTATGCGTTAGTACGTTGAATGTACTAAGTATATGGGATGCAATGCAATGCAACAAGGGATGGACATCATAGGCAAAATGCATAATCGTACCCGATAGATAGCATATTAATGAGATGATATGTATAATGATGCTTATATAAAAACCATATTTAGTAGGGCATAGTATATGTGTAGTGAGTGACCATCAATATAGTATTTCCAAGGCCTACCACCCCCTTGGAGAGGCGAAAGAGGTACAAACCCCTCAATGTGGTTACCCGGGCCTACCACCCCCCGAGCTAGGGACCAAGGTACAAACCCCTCGATATGGTTATACGGGCCTACTACCCCCCGTACTAGGCAACCAAGGTACAAACCCCTCGATACGGTTATACGGGCCTACTACCCCCCGTACTAGGCAACCAAGGTACCAACCCCTTGATACGGTTACCCGGGCCTACAACCCCCCGAGCTAGGCTTGATCGACTCACACACTATATAGAGAAAATCATATACATGTATCCATTTCATCATCATTTCAATACTTATATAATCATCCGACTCATAGGACGTACATTGGACCTTCCATTTCATAAGAATTCTATAAATGGCATTTTATCAAACATATGGTGGGCTACTTGTTCATGTAAATAAAATCATGTATTTTAAGAGTACTAAGTCCAACCAATTTCAAAATCTATATAAAACAGCCCACCAACAACATACATATATATATACATATATAACAACCTTCATAATTTGATCATGGAGGCATGAAAACCATAAACATCATATAATCATTCCTTTTCATGATAATATACAAAAATAGACCATAATAGGATGTGTAGTAATAATTCCATAATTCAAGAGTTCATAAATGATCATAAGGACCCATAAACTTGGAGTAAAATAGAGGATAAATGGTTGGACTTGTGGAAAGGAAGGTTTCCACAATCAAACCCACATACCTCAACTTTGGAGAATCCTTGATGAAGATTGGAATGGAGAATTGATGATTGAGATTGAGTCTTGAATCCGGAATTAGAGTTTGAGATGTTTGAATTTGGTTGAAGATCTTGGTGGAATTTTGGAGAGGGTTTAGAGAGAGTTTTTGGATGTTTGAGAAATGTTTTAGAGACTTGGAATGAACTAATGATATATAGGGAATATCATATGCCCTTTTGGAAAAAAAATTGTCCAACACTTAGAAAAATTAATGGGGCGGGTGAACAGTGTTTCGGCTTACTGGAAATGGCACTTTTCTGCCGGCGAGGTTTTACGAAAATGGTTATAACTCCTTCATCCTAACTCGGAATGAGGCGAAACAAATTGCGTTGGAAAGCTAACTCACAAAGCTTTAATTTTGATAGTTTGAGCTCCTTCCAGTTCCTTGTGTGCTGAGAGATATGCCCCTTTAAAGTTGACCCTCAAAATCGCATTTTTTGCGATTTTCGAATTTTGATACGGTTGTTCTAAAATTCGGGTTAGACTCATTTCCCACTCAATTTGACCCCCTGAATAAGAATATGAAGTCGAATTTCCGAAATGATGCACGGATTTTGAGATATATGGAAATTACAATTTTAGGTGTTTCCGAAGCACATTTTCGGGCATTTTTGGGGTCGTTTCAATATCTCCCCCTTGGGAACATTCGTCCCGAATGTTAAAGAAACGTACATGAGGGACACAAACATGGCAATATCAGCCCACATAAGGATGCAACAATGCACTTACATCTTATTTCAAAACCTCAACATAGTTGTAAAACCACAATGAACTTGTCAATTTAAACATGAATGTATGCAATGACATGGGGGTTGAACTTAAGACCTGAGATTTTATAAAGGGCTTAGATCAATACCTTAAGCTTGAGTGGAGTGGAAAAGATAAGGATATCGCCTTTGCATGTCCGCTTCGGCCTCCCAAGTAGCACTCTCAACTTGTTGAGTTCTCCAAAGGACTTTAACGGAAGCCACATCTTGTTTCTCAACCTCTTCACTTGTCTATCTAAAATCTGGACCGGAACCTCTTCATAGGTCAAATTATCTTCAACAACACCCACAACATCAAGAGACACAATGGCATTTGGATCACCCACACACTTCCTCAACATAGACACATGAAATACCGGATGAACCAAATCCATTTCGCTAGGCAATTCCAACTCATAAGCTACCTTGCCAATTCTCCTCATCACTTTATAAGGACCCACGTATCTTGGGCTCAACTTGCCCTTCTTACCAAAACGAACCACACCCTTCATGGGTGACACCTTCAAATAGACCCAATCACCAACTTGGAATTCAAGAGCCCTTCTCCTCACATCGGCATAGGACTTTTGGCGACTTTGGGCCGTCTTCAACCTTTCTCTAATCATCCTAACCTTCTCAAGAGCCTCCATAACTAGATCTGGTCCTAACAAGGCCACCTCACCAACCTCAAACCACCCAACCGGTGATCTACAACGTCTCCCATAGAGAGCCTCAAAAGGAGCCATACCGATGCTAGAATGATAGCTATTGTTATAGGCAAACTCAATCAATGGAAGATGATCATCCCAACTACCCTTAAGCTCCAATACACAAGCCCTAAGCATATCCTCAAGTGTTTGGATAGTCCTTTCGGCTTGTCCATCCGTTTGCGGGTGAAAGGCCGTAGTAAGCTTAACTCTCGTACCTAGACCCCTTTGAAAGGACTTCCAAAAGTGTGAAGTAAATTGAGTACCACGGTCCGATATGATGGATAGAGGAATCCCATGCAACCTTACCAAGTCATGAATATATAACCTTGCATAATCTTCCGCCCCATATGTTGTCTTTACCGGTAGAAAATGAGCCAATTTTGTCATCCTATCAACCACCACCCAAATAGAATCAAAACCTTTTCTAGTCTTGGGTAAACCAACTACAAAATCCATATTAATTTCTTCCCACTTCCAAGTAGGAATCTCTATGTCTTGGGTTAGACCACCCGGCCTTTGATGTTCGGCCTTGACTTGTTGACAACTATGACAACCGGAGACGAATTTGGCAATGTCCTTCTTCATGCCTCCCCACCAATACACATCCCTCAAATCTCTATACATTTTGGTGGAACCGGGGTGAATGGAGTAGGAAGAATTATGAGCCTCCTCAAGAATTTTCTCCCTCAAACCATCAACACGAGGCACACACAACCTACCTTGGTACCTAAGGGCACCATCTCCCCCTTGGGAGAAAACTTCCACCTTGCCCTCTTTCACCAAGGCCTTCAATTCTAACAAGGACGAGTCGAGATCTTGTTTTGCTATCACCTCATCAACCAAGGAAGACCTAGCACCATCAACAACGACCACACCACCATTACCAACCTCTTCCAACCTAACCCCCAACCTTGCCAACCGATGCACCTCCCTAGCCATTTCCCTATCACCAATATCCACATGAGCTAGGCTACCCATAGACACCCTACTCAAAGCATCCGCCACCACATTAGCTTTACCGGGATGATAATGCACACTCATATCATAATCTTTAAGAAATTCTAGCCACCTTCTTTGTCTCAAGTTGAGGTCTTTTTGGGTGAAGACATATTGAAGACTCTTATGATCGGTGAACACGTCAACATGTACCCCATACAAATAATGACGCCAAATCTTTAAAGCAAACACCACCGCGGCTAATTCAAGATCATGCGTAGGATAGTTCTTTTCATGCACTTTGAGTTGTCTAGAAGCATAGGATATCACCTTACCATTTTGCATTAGGACACAACCCAAGCCAACTCTAGAAGCATCACAATACACAACAAATCCCTCAAGCCCATCCGGTAGTGACAATATAGGAGCGGACACAAGTTTATCTTTCAAGGTTTGAAAACTCCTCTCACACTCGTCGGTCCACTCAAACTTAGCCTTCTTTTGTGTCAACTTAGTCATGGAAGAAGCAATAGAAGAAAACCCATTCACAAATCTCCGATAGTAACCCGCTAAGCCCAAGAAGCTCCTAATATCCGACGGGGTCAATGGCCTAGGCCAATTTCTAATCACATCGGTCTTCTTAGGATCTACCTTAATACCATCCCCCGACACCACATGACCTAGGAAGGCAACCTCCCTCAACCAAAATTCACACTTTTCATACTTGGCATACAACTTCTCCTCTCTCAATCTTTGCAACACAACCCTCAAGTGACCCATATGTTCTTCCTCGCTATGCGAATAGATTAAAATATCATCAATGAAGACCACAACAAAGGAATCAAGGTGGGGTTTAAAGATCCTGTTCATTAGGTCCATGAAGATAGCCGGTGCATTGGTCAACCCAAAGGACATGACCACAAATTCATAATGCCCATACCTAGTCCGAAAGGCTGTCTTGGGAATGTCACACTCCCTCACCTTCACTTGATGATACCCGGACCGAAGATCAATCTTAGAGAAGTGGCTAGCCCCTTGTAATTGGTCGAACAAGTCATCAATCCTAGGAAGAGGATATTTATTCTTGATGGTGACCCTATTGAGTTGCCGGTAATCAATACACATCCTAAGGGACCCATCTTTCTTCTTCACAAACAACACCGGTGCACCCCATGGTGATTGGCTAGGCCTAATAAAACCCTTCTCCAACAAGTCCCTCAATTGTTCCTTCAACTCCTTTAACTCCGCCGGGGCCATACGATAAGGGGGGATAGAAATGGGTTGAGTATCGGGGAGGAGGTCTATGCCAAAATCTATTTCCCTTTCGGGAGGAACACCGGGAAGGTCATTAGGAAAGACATCAAGGAATTCATTTACGATCGGAACCGACTCTATAGGAAGGGTTTTGGACTCCACATCCCTAACCCTCACAAGATGATAGAGACACCCCTTAGAGATCAACTTACGGGCTTTAATGCAAGAGATGAACCTACCCTTGACTACCACATTTTGGCTCTCCCACTCAAGAATGGGTTCACTTGGGAATTGGAACTTGACCCTACGGGTTCTACAATCAATGGAAGCATAGTATGCATGCAACCAATCCATCCCAAGAACAACATCAAAATCGACCATGTTCAACTCAACAAGATCACAAGGCAATATTTTATGCAAGATGCAAATAGGACAATTTCTATAGACCTTCCTAGCAACCATATATGCACCAATAGGAGTAGACACCTTATATGACTCATGCAACAAGTCGGGCTCAACATGAAACTTGTTGGCAACAAAGGGGGTGACAAAAGAAAGAGAGGCACCCGGATCAATTAATGCATATACATCAAAGTCAAAGATTTTCAACATACCGGTAACGACGTCGGGGACTTCATCGACCCCTTGCCTCCCATGCAAAGCATAAAATCGATTGTGCCTTGGGGCACCATCTTGTCGGCCCCCTCTCCCCAAAGGAACCGCATTGGCACCTTGTGGACGGACCTCCTTACCCTTGTTGCGATTTCCGAGGACAATCCATTGCCTTGTGCCCCATTTCCCCACAACTATAGCAAGCACCGGTATTTCTCAAGCACGGGCCACCATGGCCCTTACCACACTTCGGACATACATCAATAGGACCCATACCCCTAACACCTTGGGCCCTTGGAACATCATTGGCAAACCCCTTATGGAGCGCATGAGAAGACCCTTGACCTTGATGAAACCGGCCTCCCGTTCTACTTTGGAACTTGCCCTCAAAAACGGGCCCTCTTGGCCTCATGACCCTCTTCTTCCTCCAACTTCTCCTCCTCCATTTGTTCGGCATAGACCATCAAGCGGGACAAGTCCATGTCACTAATCAACATTGCGGACCGGCATTCTTCACTCACTAGGTCGGACACACCCATCACGAATTTGTTCATCCTAGACCGTGAGTCGGCAACCAAATGTGGAGCATACCTTGAAAGTTGGTTAAACTTGAGAGCATACTCCCTCACACTCATAGACCCTTGTTTTAAATTCATGAACTCCACCAATTGGCTTCCCTAAGCTCAAGAGGAAAGAATCGATTAAGGAAAGCCGTTTTGAACTCTTCCCAATGCACCACATAGTTTACCCCCTTCTCTTCCTTCCATTGGTTGTACCCATATTTGGGCCACCCCTTTTAGTTGGTAGGCCGCCAACTCCGCCTTATCTTCTGACTTCACACCCATGATAGCTAATATCTTGAGGACTTCATCAATAAATCTTGAGGGTCTTCATCTAACTTAGACCCATAGAATTCCGGGGGATTCATCCGCACGAAGTCTCTCACCCGAGATGCCGGGGTAGGAGCCTGAGGGGTTGGGCCCCGTGGTTGGCTTGATTAGCCATAGCTTGTGCAAATAAAGTAAGGGCATCCCGAAGATCCCCATTGGTCGGTTGTTCCTCGGGTGCGCGGGCTCGTCTTCCTCTTGTATTAGGCATGATCTAGCATAGCAAAGAACAACCGTTAGGGAAGAACTTAATTCAACTCTACAGCACGACTTAGAACATGGAGAAGGGAAACATTTCCTAAAACGTCTCATAGCCTCCTACTCATAGTTGTGGTGCACAACACAACCATGAATCGGACTCTAATCAACGCGGTGTGTTGGACTCCGAGGATCTATCAACCTAGTGCTCTGATACCAAGTTTGTCACGACCCAAGCCTAGGGCCTAGACGTGACCGGCGAATGGGGAACCCGAAGGAACCCCAAACAAGCCTCATAGCGTATCATTACACATCCTTGGTCGCGGAAGCAATTAAAATGACCATAAGCGATAAGCATAATCAAGGGGGAAATCGGGACTAAGGGAGCAAGAAAAAAAAAGAAGAAATGATACTAAATACCATAGATGAGTCAAGCTCAAGCATAATACACAACTTGTCCAACACCACCTCTAAACATGGTACTTAGCGGGGGCCAAGACAAACTACCGGGCTCACCCTCATAGTCAAAACATAACTAAAAAGGAAAAGTCTTATACATAGCAAAAGATCATAAGCAACGTCCCCGGAATGGAGGACTCACCAATAACCTTGATAGAAAATCGTATTAGCCACGCGGAGGAGGAGGTCAAGCGGTGCTCCGGTCCCTACATGGTGACATCATGTAGGCATAGAGTATGCGTTAGTACGTTTGAATGTACTAAGTATATGGGATGCAATGCAATGCAACAAGATGGACATCATAGGCAAAATGCATAATCATACCCGATAGATAGCATATTAATGAGATGATATGTATAATGATGCTTACATAAAAACATATTTAGTGGGCATAGTATGTGTGTGAGTGACCATCAATATAGTATTTCCAAGGCCTACCACCCCCTTGGAGAGGCGAAAGAGGTACAAACCCCTCAATGTGGTTACCCGGGCCTACCACCCCCCGAGCTAGGGACCAAGGTACAAACCCCTCGATATGGTTATACGGGCCTACTACCCCCGTACTAGGCAACCAAGGTACAAACCCCTCGATACGGTTATACGGGCCTACTACCCCCCGTACTAGGCAACCAAGGTACCAACCCCTTGATACGGTTACCCGGGCCTACAACCCCCCGAGCTAGGCTTGATCGACTCACACACTATATAGAGAAAATCATATACATGTATCCATTTCATCATCATTTCAATACTTATATAATCATCCGACTCATAGGACGTACATTGGACCTTCCATTTCATAAGAATTCTATAAATGGCATTTTATCAAACATATGGTGGGCTACTTGTTCATGTAAATAAAATCATGTATTTTAAGAGTACTAAGTCCAACCAATTTCAAAATCTATATAAAACAGCCCACCAACAACATACATATATATATACATATATAACAACCTTCATAATTTGATCATGGAGGCATGAAAACCATAAACATCATATAATCATTCCTTTTCATGATAATATACAAAATAGACCATAATAGGATGTGTAGTAATAATTCCATAATTCAAGAGTTCATAAATGATCATAAGGACCCATAAACTTGGAGTAAAATAGAGGATAAATGGTTGGACTTGTGGAAAGGAAGGTTTCCACAATCAAACCCACATACCTCAACTTTGGAGAATCCTTGATGAAGATTGGAATGGAGAATTGATGCTTGAGATTGAGTCTTGAATCCGGAATTAGAGTTTGAGATGTTTGAATTTGGTTGAAGATCTTGGTGGAATTTTGGAGAGGGTTTAGAGAGAGTTTTTGGATGTTTGAGAAATGTTTTAGAGACTTGGAATGAACTAATGATATATAGGGAATATCATATGCCCTTTTGGAAAAAAAATTGTCCAACACTTAGAAAAATTAATGGGGCGGGTGAACAGTGTTTCGGCTTACTGGAAATGGCACTTTTCTGCCGGCGAGGTTTTACGAAAATGGTTATAACTCCTTCATCCTAACTCGGAATGAGGCGAAACAAATTGCGTTGGAAAGCTAACTCACAAAGCTTTAATTTTGATAGTTTGAGCTCCTTCCAGTTCCTTGTGTGCTGAGAGATATGCCCCTTTAAAGTTGACCCTCAAAATCGCATTTTTTGCGATTTTCGAATTTTGATACGGTTGTTCTAAAATTCGGGTTAGACTCATTTCCCACTCAATTTGACCCCCTGAATAAGAATATGAAGTCGAATTTCCGAAATGATGCACGGATTTTGAGATATATGGAAATTACAATTTTAGGTGTTTCCGAAGCACATTTTCGGGCATTTTTGGGGTCGTTTCAATACTAATCTTGGCGTCTAATCGATTATTGCTTGATTAATTTAGGATAGGCTTGCAATGGAATTAATTTTGATAAACTTTATGGGGTTTTACTGTTCTTCTCACATAATGTTCTAACATGATCACTGTTTAAACTTGGTCAAATTTGGTAGCATCATTGGTTGATCGGTTTTTCTCCGTCAATTTGGCTCCAAATATTTGTCATCCAAGTCTTGGTACTTCATAACAGTAACTAAATTATTTAATTGTCACCATAATTTATGCGTTAACACTTGGGTAAACTTTAAATTGTTAATATTCTCCGTATTTGTTTAAGTCAACACTTTCACTGATCCCTTAATCTCTGAATTGTTTAATTTATGGATTTCATATTTCTTGCTAATTTCCTTAATTGTCCGAGTACAGTAAATCATTAATTTGTGAATATTACTTTGGGGGTAATTATATTACGTCGTGAATAATTATGTTTCCTTGCTTGCTTGTATCAATTAGTGTTTGTCTTAATTTATTCTTTCCTTGCTTGTTACGTGGTATTATGCTGAACTGAATTTGTTTACCTTAATTAAAAGTGAGACTGATTTCTTACTTAGTTTATATTTGGTAATTGGTTTGATTGATTTAGGTAATAAATAAATAAAATAAAATAAATGTATCTACTGATTGGCTCTATTTTATTAAAGGAAAATAATATTTCAAAATTGGCTCCCGTTAATTAACACATTTTCCCTTCCTGAGATTTTTGAACACTCTCACATTCTGACATTGTTCACACCTTACTTGAATACTAAAAATATTGCTCTCTACTCTAAAAAAAAGAAAGAATTAAGCTTTTCGGTAAACGCATTAAAGCTCCTCTACTCGCTATTTTACTGTGTTCATGTCGGTTATTGGACTAAGTGTGGGTCTTCATTGTTGTTAAACACTTCTGCTTTAACTGGTTAGTTGTTCTTTCATTAGTTTAATTTCATCTTGCATTATTATTTTGAATATTGTTGTGTGTTTGAATGAATAAAACGAAGCACCCGGTTTTGTTTTGATGTTGCGATTATTTTGCCATTATATCTATGTGTTTCATTATCCCTTCTAGCAGGTTTTGAACTTAGAGTTCAAGATGTTGAAGAGTCACCTAGAACAATTCCGGACGAAGCCATTATATTTAAGTTTATTTTAATGTTGTATATTTTATTCATTTGTTCTTTATCTTGGCTTGTAATATTGTGTAAACTCTAACTCTACTATATATGAAGGAATTTGGGGCAATCGTCTAAGGGGGAGGGGTATACGTGCTAATTGTTTTTTTTTTACTTAGTTATGTCTATTTGTGTTTGAGTGCTATTTCATCGTAAATCATAAGTTGGTGGAATATTTCTAAATAGGTGGTTTTAAAATCATTATTTGTTTATAACCTTTACTCACTTAAAATCTATAAGCTTAATGTCAAAATAAATTTCTAAAATTGGTGAATTTGTTTCATGCTAGTCTTGTGAGTTGATTATCCTAACTAACCGGTTGGTATCAACTTCAGTGTAGTAATTAATCAATTCAGCTAATTAAGTAATGTTAATTGATATATGTAGTATGTTGATCACCTAGAAATCATGCCTATAGGAGCAGTAAATTTTAATCTATCAATCACTTAAAAATCATGTATATAGATTTATTAATCAATTTTCAGCATGTCATTAAAACCTAAAATTGTAAATCAATGTCTAGCTAATAACATATTAGTATTTGTAATTTGCAATAGATAGCATGTCTATAAGATCTCAATATCTTACTTATTATTTGGGCATAAATATCATGCATATAGGCTTAAATTTTAGTTTATCCTTATCTAGAAATTCTACCTATAGGAATAATTTCAGCTTGTTAATTCAACAGTTAGGTTTTAATAAATTTCAATAGGCAACTTTTCAGCATGCTAACAAACCTAAAAGAAGTGAATCTAAACTGTTTCCATCTTTAGTTTATCTGTCAATATGAGTTATTAGTTATTTTCTGCGTTAATTCATTTAGAAATCATGCCTATAGGA